GTTGGGATGAATATAAAGTTTTCTAAATTCATTCTGCACCAAATACTGTGCAAAGCTCTGCACTCAACGTCCAGCACACGATAAAAATGTGACATATATGGTAGAACTGTTTGAGGAGGACTTACTTACTAATGACAAAGAATAATTCTGTAATATACTCTGAAGCATTAACATAGACCAAGCAAACTGCTCATTAGCAAACAGGCTTTAGAACGGCCACCAACTGATACTTGTGAATGACAAGGAAATTATTCCATTAGGATGATATGGTATATCTCTATTGACATATCTCTTGCTTACTGCAGGACACTGAAAGACTATCAGACACAACATGTTGTAACACCTGTCAGTAGACATAGTAGACATGATCTGGAGAATTTTAATGGACTCATTCTGCTTTCATAGGCATTATTATAAGTCAGGAATCCTATTCAAACCTCTACAATGTACACTGCTAGGTGTCTGTGATGCCCATGCTCAGTTTACATAGTAATGGATAAAATATCTAATTTCCATATAAGTTTTAGTTGATGCCTACTTTAAGATCATTAGATCTTTGAACTGACCTTCTTGCTATTTCAGTCTTCACAGTTATTTCCAGTTGCATCAAACTTACTTTTCCTCCCATCCTTTCCCACTAATCAATATCACTTACTGTACTTAGGACAAGAGGCACATGAAGCATTACAATGATTTTCTATCTTCAGACCTTCTCTTCTTTTAATCCAAAATAAAGAGCCTCTATAATGTTGTGTAGGATTTTCCAGCACTATGCATGGGCTGTCATAGGCATTTAAAGTAGTTTCTCTATTTAGTATGTTTGCATAGTAAGGTTTGTCTATTATGTTGGTTATGTAGAAGTCACTGTAAGCCTGTGATTGACATTTTCCACAATTTCTTTACATGGCATTATCAAAAAAATTGACAAAATACTGCACAGTATTTAAATTTAAGTAAGTAAGTAAAATTTACTGCGTTGATTCAGTAAAGGGATATGTAGGTGTAAGGATATTGTATGTACCGCTGTCATGTTGCATCGCTGTTATTGGATTAGTTATTAACAGCCATAGAACAGCACAATGCAGTGAACACACAGTTTTACCTATATACAGTATGTGGGTAGAACTGTATTCAGTATTTAGTTTCCAGAGGCCAAATGAAACCCCTTGAGAGTAAGATGTGTGTTTGTTAGTACAGAATTACCTCACTGCCAAGCAAAGCCAATATTAATAAGAAACAGCACAAGAGATACATTATTCATAGAGTACAATATAGAGAATATTGTGTGGTATAGGAATCTGTGGTTTGATGTTTTATTCATAGTGTTGTGCCATATGAAGATGGGGGTGGAGGTGTTGTGTGGAATAAGAATTTAGCGTTTGATTATTAGTATCATTGCTTCTATAAAGTCTGAGGTGGTTGTGATGAATGGGACAAGTTATAATCCAGTCCGACCCTTGTCCTTGTCATTTCATTTGTTGCTAATGGAGCGTCAGTTACAGTGTGAAAGCTGAAACGGGAGGCTAGTGACTGAAAGGATGGGAAAGTATAACTTTGAAAAGTCAAATGGGTCAGTCGAATAATAACTGTACCATATGTGCAATGTTTAAGTTTCAGGTTTAGAAACGTATAAACATGTTTTCACACATTCAGACACATCATTTGGTTTTGTGATGCACCCGACCCATCTGGAAACAGGGAAAGATCATGTACTGGGTATGTTAGCGGCGGGGATTGACTTAACCAACCACACATTGTTTTAAACTTCCCTTATCCTTCCACTGATGGACAGTGCACAACACGGATGGGGGCTGTCACAAGGTAAATCTGTTATTGATTGGCCAGTGGGCAGAGCTTTTATACTGCTCCGGAGAAAATACGGAGGATGTGCAGAGTTCAGTGCATGTCTGAAAGCAGTTTTAGAGACTGAATCTGCAGTAAGGGGAACTCCTCTCCCCCCCACAGAAAACCCTGCTCCTTAAACACCTCGTCAGTAGTTCGGCCAATACATCATTGTACATCATTGTGATATCAAATACACACACAGACTTTTTAAGTATTTATTCTAAATCAATTGATAATATTTTTGATATTAGCATTAGGTAAGAAAAGTAAGAAAGAATCAAGAATCAATCCCTGTCACTGTGGATTCACTGCAAGGGATGGGGGAGCTTGTTTCTCAGTGGGGTTCTCAAGAATTTGCTTATTTTTAAGAAATGAGGCAAAATGGCCACATACAGTCAGCCAGTGTTTAAGCTTGTTCAGGCCAACACGCTTGCTATGGTATGGTAGCACATATCGGCGGTAAAAGAGAGAAAGTTCAAAATATCACTTTTCTGACAGTTAATCACTGGTTCTTTAATAAACACAGTTGATCAGTTCATCTCAGGTGATATGTTTCACTTTACCTAATGTCACCTAATAGTCTCTTCAAGTGGTGATAAAATGCTTCCAGTTCTTTACATATTTAAAACTGACCAAGAGCTAATATCCTTATGAACTTGCACTAGTGCACCAATAATTTTTCACATTTAACACTCACACACTTAATTTTCAAGTGAAATAACTGTAGAGTGATACTGATCCTTGCATTGACCCTGTCAGCAAGAAACTGAATTTGTGTATTTCCCAAAAATATCAAAGGATTTCTGTTAATCAATAGAGTGGTTGTCCAGCTTTATTTAGCTGCTCAGTGGCTGTGGTGATACTGGGAGGCTTTCAGGTGTGACTGAATAAATAATTGTGCAGCATGATGGAAAACATGATGATTAACACACTTTTCCAAGCCTAAAAGAGTAGTTATAATCAACATTCTGCGGAATTCTCCCATCAGACCCCACTAAAAACTAGTAAGATTGTCTGAGTGAGTGGGCATGTTAATGACATAAAAAAAAGCTTGTTCAATCAGGTTTTTATCAGCTACAGAAATCACCAAAATTATTTCTTTCCTTCATTCTGGAGGAATTATTCAAGCATTTATCTCATCATATCTTGACTACTACAATGTCCTGAACACATCTCTCCTAAAAATCACTTAATCTCGGAAATCATTTGAGGAAAATGTTGCCACATTCATTTTGGCTTCCCTACAGTGGCTAACGATATATATTTTTTATCCTATTTTAAAATACTGGTTTGCCTTATATGTAGAACTGCTGTCCGTTAATCAACAGACACACTACCTGAGATCCTCGGTCAGAACTTATTAACCATCTGACCGTAAGTTAAAAACCAAAGGTTTGATGTTTTGGGCCCCCAGACTTTGAAAGGCTCTGCCCAAAGAGTCAGGCTGATTAGCTAACAGAGTTCAAATCAATTCAACTCAATTGGATTTTATTTGTGTAGCGCCAAATCATAATATACATGACCTCAAGGTGCTTTACATAGAAGGTCA